ATGAAAAATTAGGTGTCTATTTACTTGTGACCACTCAGTGTATATTGCTGGGGTCATCAGCTGCAAAGATTAAAACTCTTGCACAAAGAGTGTATAGTTATGTACAGTTCCTAAATATGGATAACTATAATGTTGCCATCATAAGTGTCTGGAGGATTAGGATTAAGTCTTGCAAGAAAATTATACACATTGCCTTAGGAAGCAATTTTTCACCTTCAGGCCCCTGACACAGCTAAACAATGTGATACATGATGTGTGAAAAGCACACTACCAGCATGCAAAACATGCCATTTCTATGGGGGTCTCTGGACATGACCCCCCAGAAAATTATTGATAACCCAATGCTATGATTTTGAATCTTGAGTTATTTTAACTACAAATACTGCATACACACAACGTAATGTATTGAATTAAAAGAAGCAAATTTTATTGCATAAGTTGTAACTATACATTCCATGAAAATGTGGTCAGGCAATGGCCTAACTGGCCTTACAGCTTCCTACCTGATATAGCTACCTACTAGCAAAATTTACATGTAGAGTCTGGAGGGTTAAGCAATAGTAAGTAGAAAACATAAAACAAACTACATTACATGTAAAACATCTAAGGATTTCATTTTGAATGCATGTGTATGTAAAACACAAAATACAAAGTAGAGGGTCTTACTTTCTTCCTACATATAGATTTCCTCTGTAATGTTTCAGCATGAATTTAAAAATTTTGTCATAAGCAAATACTGAAGCAAAATAGCTGAACAGTTGACAAGGGTGATAAAAAACTTTATCCCCACAAATATACATTACACTAACACCATTTTTATGTTACTCTTACTTCCATAGTCCAAAAATTCATGTGACATGTTTTCTGACCCACAAGAGGAGCTGAGGTCCACTTCCTCTGGGTCAATTTCTTCTGCTGTCTAAAAAGAAACAGAAGGAGACCATGTGGTAAGCATTGCTTAACAATGTAATGAATATTATTACTTTTTTGCTAAAAGTTCACATTTGTGCTGCTAAACAAAACACAGATATCTTGGAAAAACTATTTTTGTTTGTCAGGTAAATACTTATATATAATCTCAGAATCATTTACAACTTAAAATAAAAACATATTGATGTTTCAGAAGCTCCAAATACGTATAGAAATTATCCATAATGGGCTAATTTTTCTTTTCCAATAATACTTACCTCCACTGACACTTGTAGCTATAACTCACTGCCAAGGTTTCTTCTTTGCCCATCAAAGCATTGGTCTGATTCTTTCTTGCTTTCTCCAGTCTTTTATACTACACTCAATTGCCCTTGCCAATATTTGTCTTGTGATAATCTCCACCTACATCAATGCGCCCTCTATCCTGGTACTGTATATAATCACCTCTTTCAGATAATGCTATCACTTTTTCGAGGTTGGCTCAATCACTGACTGACTGGCTCTTAGTGGAAAGGAAGGGCAGGAGAGTACGAGAAGAGGTAAGTATATTTTTGGAAATACATTTTCGATTTTAGAAAATGTTAACTTCCAAAACACACTTACAGCTAGAATCCCACATTGAGAAGGTGGAGGGGTCATTATCCATACAGAAAGTATCTGCATAGATCATAGGTGTACCAAGATAAGGTTAATACCAGAGAGGGGGAGCTGCACTACATTCAGAATATGTATGCTCTTCACCCTGAAATTATTTCCTGTACCACGGGTGGAATTGTACATGAGTGATCATCATTATAGGCCAGCCCCAACCAGATAGCTCAGGTTTCATTACTCAGGGCTAGAATTAAGGGGTCTTGGTCCCTATATCCCACATTGGTGGCTGGGGCAATTGGACTGCAACATTACATATATATATATATTATTGATTGAATCCCAACCTGTAGCCGTAGAGTGATGCATTCCAAACCACCAGAATCACAACAGGAAAGTAAGCAATACCAAAGTGAAAAAACCTTCTCCTTCACCTGAAGAACCCAAAAAGACAACACCCAGGCTCAGAGTGATGGAATCATGTACGCTGTACTCAACCAAAGGAACAGAACTCATCTGGTCTCGAATTATGAACATTCATCCTCACTCTCCAACTGAATGGGCAAAGAACATTCTACCTGCCTCCGAAATTATGGGGAGGACGTGGAACAACTGTGCTCAACCAAGGACCCAGGATAGGACCACTCTGCATTCGGAATTACGAGGAGATAATGGGCCCCTTTCCAAGAACAATGTACTGAACCAATATTGATCAAAAAGAAGGCCCAGCCCATGCACACCTCAACAAGATAGCCAAGTAGACTCATGCATAGGCTGGTGCTTCTCCTACCTACATCTGGGAAAATAAACATCCAGGGACCTGGGTAGGAGGACCCCCAACTACGACCTTTTCTCTGAGAGTGGAGGAATTCACTCTAACACTTTGGAGGAAAAACCTCTGTCTACCACCCCAGTGACTGGAAACTGAGTGTGGCAGGACTCTCTAGCTCCACTAGTAGAAACTGAAGGGGGGTGATGCTCATTGGGGAGTCATGAGGAACAGTGCAATAGCTTTTTAATAGTTTAAAAGCAAATGATCCCAATTTATTCAATCCAATGATCAGCAGGGATGAGCAGGATCCCCTTTAGTTTACTTATGATAATCCATGAATGGCAGTCCAGCATTGTATGGTAATACCACCTGGTAAGCTCCTAGGTGGTCTTATGGAACACCTCATTTCTACAGAGCCTGTTGCAACCAGTAATAATTATAGTGAAATAGTAGTTGCTAGTGTAGAATTGGTTTGATAAAAGCACACCTGTCTGAGCAACACTCACCACAGAGTGGGATACTGAGAAAACACGGTAAGGAATCCTGAAAGGTAGAAATAAAAATACTCACCCCTCTGAATAATCTAGCAGAAATGGTTAAGACAACTACAGGTGGTTGGCAAAAACCCTCAGATGAAGAGATTGCCAGATCAGGCAAATAAAGAGAAATAAAGGTATTGGGGGAGGTCCACACAATGACCACCACCAGGCAATTCAATTGAGTTGCTAAGGGCATAGAAAACAGAAATCTGATTAGATGTAACTCACAGATGATATCTTGCCTTCAAAAAGAGCACAGAAGAAAAAGTGTTGTCTACTATCTCTAAAGGTATAAATGCAGACAGCAAAACCTTAAAGACCCTCCCTGAACATGACTGAGATCGAAATTTAATTGGACATAGAGAGAAAGAGTGAGCAGATGAATCAGAGAAAAGGACTGAACCCCCTTACTGTCTGTTTTGGGTAAGAATTGGTCTTAGGATGTATAGAGAATGAGAAAGTTGTCTGTGGACAAACAGTGCAAATCACTCCAACTGGTAATGTCGATATGTCAGCAGCCACGAAAAATAAACCTGCAGGTAAAGGGGATATATGGCAAATAAGAGTAAGTTCACAAGCAGGTGTAGATAAAGAACACATAACCTTAATCTACCTCGGAGGTAACTGCAATGGTCATTTCAGAACAATTACTCAAAATGATATGAGGAATCTGGAGAGTACTGGGGACTAAAAAATATGTAGTCATGATAATTTAATGGTAGTCGATAAGGACACCATAAACAGTGTCGATTGTGGAAGATGCAAAACTTCTGTCAAAGAGCCAAGTCAAAAATTGAGTTATGGTTGACACCAATGATTGAAAAGGGGTCAACCTCCTTTCAATACAACATTGCAAATGTGCATGTCACTACCGCTGATAAAAGTACCTTTCAGACAAAGCAGAAACTGAGACAGATACATGTCAACCCTAGAAATTAAACCCCAATACCACGTGAAAAACAGCATAATCTCTATGCCAGAAGGTTGGACTTTCTGATAGCCAGGTGTACCATATCAGATCATGGCTGCCTCCACAGCAAGAACTTAAACAGAAGTGGAAGAGTTGGACACAACAGAAGGGACTGCAGAAACAGTAACCCAGTTGTAGCAGACAATCTGTTGCTATCAACAGGATCTGACAATGGGTTGGAACAAATCATATTTTGTACCCTGGGTAACATATCAAGTGGAGAGAAGGTTGTGAGTGGTAATCCCATCCTATCCAGATGTAAAGCATCTATTGCCAAAGCGCAAAGATGAGGTACTGGAGACCAAAGTGCCAGTAGTTGGGTGATCCAATGAGAGACCAACCTACAATTAGAGTTGCAAAATGAGAGGTTATCCAATTGAACCTTGTGATACAACATATATTCTGTCAGGGGAATCTCTTTGTTGTTTGAGACAATGGAACTGCATCCAAATGCATCAGCAATGGAACATGGTAAGCTAGAAAGGTTATATGACTAGTTCTGAGAAAATTGGTCCAAAATCCAAAAATAAGAAGCCCTAGACCCCGTGCCTCCTTGATGAGAAACATAAGACACAATCATGGAATAGTCAGAGTAGAGCCTGACAATTTACCCCTTAAGAATTGGGAATTGGTTTGAATTTAGCCACAGGAGGGCTATCCATGCTAGCTGTCTCTAATTTAGCAGTTTAAGGCTAGAGGGAAGGCAGCTAGTCATCACCACCCACTGCCAACTCTTATGCTACTCTTTTACCAACGAATAATGGGATTGACCATCATATTATAATGCCCCATAGCTGAAGGGCGAGCATGCTTGATGGGATGGGTATTCAAACCTGTGACCCTCATATTGCAAGACGAGCACCCTATTCAGCTGGCCATGCCAGGCATACCCCTTAAGAAGCCCAGACTATGAGGCATTGCCTGTTAAAGAGCAAGAAGGATGAAAACATTGTATAGGGAATCCTCATCATCTGTGCATAGACTCTGGAAGTCCATTCCTGAAGCAAGGCATTCATGAAGAGAATGGAACTCTGAATTAGGTGACAGTAGAGAAATACAAATCGTAGTAGTGTTCCAACTTAACAACGCCTTGAGATCAAAGAATGATCCCATCTAGGGAAACTGGGGAAACCAATAAAGAGATGTGTATGATCTATGGTCACTTAAATACCAATAAAAGGATCGCTTGTGTTCTCATCCCAAAAGCACAAGGTATTCGAGTGATGCCCACATTCCCAGAAGAGAAAGAATCATCCATGCAGTGGGAGAAGGAGAGGTGAGTAAGAGTGTGGTGTCCTATTCTATAGTGTTGAGAAGGATGGGAGACAGCTGAACCCAACTGAGAACTGGGATGAAAAATAAAAATACACAGACTTATGACTTACTGAATTGGAGGAAGAATAGATGTTGCAGTCCCAAAAGGGAAGACTGCCTGGATTGTATCTGAAAGTAGAATCAGGATGTGATGGTCCAACAGTTAAGAGATGTTGCCAGCAGTAACCAGTCGTTCATGGAATGGTGTGTACACAGTACGATAGAATGAAATAGACGAGAGAACTCGCACAATACGGCAGAACCCATGTTAAGCCTATGTGAGTCCTAAGGAAAAAAACCTGGAACTGCATTGCCAAGGCAAAGTGCAGATAGGAGCTGACTACAACCAAGATGAACATCTACAATTCCAGTAAAAAAACAAAACAAATTGAGGAATGAGTAACTTGTAAACCTTTGAGAATCTTGGCATTGATATAGACAAGGAAGATCGATGACTGGACACCAATCTCCTATCAGAATAGGCCCAACAACTGACAGGAATAAAACTTTGAAGAACTAGTCTGAGTGTCTCACTACATCCAGACCAACCAGACTCAGGTAACCCTAGAACTAAGTGAACTGCAGGAGATGCAAACCCTACAGGTTAGGTGCAGAATAGTAGGGAAGATGTGAACTGAAAGACCAATTGTGACCCATGGACCTGCAGAGTTCCTGAACCCTTGATTAGGGTTACCACACCCCCAGAAATTCTTGAAACGGAGCCCCCACAACCCCTGAAGGTATAGAATAATGATTAACACTGCTAGCAATCTAACTAAGCAGTGGAAACCTTGGATATAGACAGAAGCCATTCTGAGTACAAAAGTACAAAGGGGCTGATGTCGGGGTCGGGACTCGCAAATAGATGTCAAACTATGACTCTCTGTAGGAGCCAATGAAATTCGAGACTCCAACAAGAACCGGGAGGAATGTAGAAGCCGAAAATGTAACTAACATGCATGTAAACAATGGGTTCATCTCATCATCATTGAAGCTGGGGCTCCTGAAAGTCTTCTAACAAAGGTAAGTGAAAGGAAACAAAATGTTGAATTGTGGTTGTAAGTCTGCAGACTTACTCTGTCCAATCAGGGACCTAGATAGATGATCTACAAACTCTGCCTTAGAACCCCAAAATTCGAGGAGAAAAGATATTATTTCAGAGTTGGAAGAATGCTTCCACCTAGTGGTGATAGGCTAAATCATGATAACACAATAACATTCAAAGTATCTCTGAATGATGTAATACTGGGAAACCTGATAGTGATGCTTTGTCGAGAAAAAGTAATAAAATTATCAGAATTAGGGCACTTTGACGCAGGTGGAGAGTATCACGAGATAAATATCGCCAAGTCAATTGAATGGGGTATAAAAGACTAGAGAAACTGAGACAAAAAGCATACAAATGCTTAGATGGGCAAAGTAGAATCCCTGGCAGTTGAGTAAATATGTTTTGTAGTTATTGTAAAACAAATAGATATATCCTAAATATCTAATAGTAGTATAAAAGCTTTAAAATTACATTAAATGTGGATATTTTATAAGTGAAATATGGTATAATATCTCTTAAAATTACACAGTCATTCCGCTTACTATTCCTTTGATTGAAAAAGTTTTATTGAGTTTTAAATACACTACCAGAAACTGTTATTATGAAAAATAAAAGGGGTAACCTAACTTTTTAGGGCAGAAGTTTTAATGACTTGTAAACTCAATAAAAAATTGATATTAAAGAATGCAAAAACAAATATTATTACCTTGTATGGCAGGCATTTTAATCATTTCTAGATAGAGTACAAGCCATCTGATTTTCTTTTATCTGTTCCTATAAAAGCATTTTAAAGTGTAAAAATTCAGAAAACATTACTCTTTTTGTCAGTATGTTCTTCCTGATTTCCTGAATACTGTCATATAACACTCGTGAGGCTTCTATGAATCCATTCTCATTCAAATCTTCTGGTGAATCACAGGATAAGGCTTTCAATGTAACCTCAACTTGGGATTTAAAGTTATTTATAACTGGAAAATGTAAAAGAAAAAGAATTAATATAATTGAAAACTGTCCAAGTAAGAAATTAAAATTCTCAAAGAACACTAATGTAATATATGAGGAATACAACTGCTAAACATGTTTAGTATGTACAAAAAACAAAAATAAAACTTTTTTTTAAAATTCAAACTTTAATTGTGATCATCTCTATAACTAGCATATAATACTCATGCCTTCTGCTAGGTTGAAAGGCCCTCTAGAAACCCTAATGTATTGAATAAGCGACTCCATTATCCTCATTTACTTCTATAACTATCCAAATGGGGGATTCATAACAAAAAGCATAAGAACGCCCACCCATGAGAACTATGGGGGTATAAACTCAGTTTCATATATGCTGCCCACAGAATTCCAAGAGGGAACTAGGAATGTTCAAAAAATTGGATTCCAGGTTTTGGTTCATCATTCTTAAAAAATTTACTCTTATAAACACTTATCATGACTGAGTGACCTTCCCAATGCATTTTAGCCCCCTTGAGAAGGAAGCTGTCCCATTTATACATATATATACAAACATTTCCTGGGCCACCCCAATTCTGCCTGTCAAATTTGGTACTCCTAGCTCCAAAATGGTGGGAAAAGTTTGGAAGCAAACAAATTCCCACACACAATGTGAATACATATGGGATGACCACACAATGATGCACTAACAGCAGCTTTATACAGCTGTATCTATATACATTTATTCTTACGTTCTATCATTAAGAAAATCTTCTCTTTTGGATTGTGATTAAACTTCTATTAGATGAAGCTTTTTGGGTGTAACTGTACTCACCATTTTCTTTCAACCAATGGATGGACTGGAAAACACGTTGCTTGTATCTTTCATCATCATACTTGTCCATCTCAGCTGTAACAACATTACAAACACGAATGGCTCGACTATGGACCTGTGCAGCAAGATAATCAAGTAATTCTTGGTCATAGTCTTGGATAGCTGCCACACATTTCTTCATATCTTCTATTATGTGATCCTCTATATTTAAGAAAATTTTTACACACATTAGAGTATTTTCAAAACAGTTAGTATCTTATCATTTCCTAAAATTAATATGTGCAAGTTATCTAAAACATTCATCCATTAAAGCACGCAATTAAAGTCTAAACAAGCAGGTCATAAATCCTTAATTCAGATATAGTCATTCCTATTTTTGAACTACTAACCAGACAAAAAGTAGTGAGCCAATTGCACCTACTGTCACAAGAGCTTTGTCTGGCTCTTAAACCAATCATGGAATTGACTATCACTTTTACAATGCACTCTCAGCTGAATGTATGGAGCATGTTCATCTACATATATCTTGAACCCTAAATGATTAAAGGTTTATTTAATTTATAACAACTTTGAAAAGTGATATAAAATATCTGATCCCTGGTTTGTTCCATACAGGTTTTCAGTCAATGTTTCAAAATATTATGAAATTAGTGTAGTTTTCAAGTTCTAGCCTACATCTTTCATAAAGTTAGTAGTGTTACATGCAATTTACAGTAAGTGCAATTTACTCATGCAGTAAGTGTTATTACTATACTTTACACATAAAAATCCAGTTTGTTTTTATTTCAACTCCACATCTCCCTCATGCAGTTGATGTTGTATGCTTCTTTTAGTCTATATGAAGCAATTAGTTCAATTTTTTGTCTGATATTCTCATGCAGTTAATTTCATTTTCAATATTGGTCTACACTTTTTAAGCTATTAGCATATTCTTTTTGTTTGTTTGTTTTTGTGTGTAATGATGCTACATCATTACAGCTGCCTCTTTCTACAGTAGGATGACGTTTTGGCTTCTATACTGTTGCCTTCTTCAAATTGAAGTCACCTTAAAACAACATATCTTGTACTGTTATTTGAAATTTTAATTCTAAGTTACATCACCTTTACTTCAGTTATTTTAGTCTACATATATTATGAGCTTGCATGGATTTTTTTCTGTTTGACACCTCTTATGTAGCATTTTTATTAGTATTCTACATTTGCCATGAAGTTTGTATATAATTAACATTGTTACTTCTTCATATTTTATGCTGGTAATGTTCTTACCTTCTAGTCTTCTGTACATTTCTCATGCAGTTTGTTTTAGTTTTACACAGAAAATTGATTGCTTTTGGAAAGGCTATGTAATAGTCCTTTCAACTGCTAGACACTAAAACACTCAGATCATAAAGATGTGTTCAGATCACAAATTTAGAATTTCTAAGGCGGAGATATTACTTACGCTAAATGTTATTGGAAAACATAAAAGTATCAATCAACTTAGGATACTATGCAAATCTACCCAGAAAGAGACCTGCAACACGAAGTACCTCAGCTGTAGTAATTAAGCAAATTTTAGTGCCTTATAACAGATGAGGAATCTATACACACAACAAATATAAACTTGGTGTGTGAAGTGGTATACTTGATAGTAATAGCTATTTTCAATCACGAAGATTGAAATTTTAAGAAAAGCACAGTTTTCTGAATATTTTCTTAACATTATTTCAGTACAAGGAGCAGCTTAAGATGCATGAAAATATGGGATTTACGTGTATCCAGGGTGATGTAAACTTGAAGTATACAGCAGTTTATTTGGTTCTAATAAATTATTTTCAATCATGCAGATTGAAATATTTAGCATATAGTTTTCTTAATATTTTCCTAACATTATTTCAGTACAGGGAGTAGTTTATGATACATGAACGTGCAGGCTGTAAGTGTATAATGAGGTTTGCAGAAAGTAGCACAAAAGTGTTGAAATATTGTTAATTGACCGATAACTAAAGCTAAACCTGCAACTGATAGAATGGTAGGAGAAACAATGACCATTAGCATTCATCAATGTTTCCAAAACTAAAGGTTGGTTTTACCTAATCTGGGTCAGCATATGCATATTGGATTGAATTTTATAATGAGTTTGCTGTACATTACCACGAAAATGACATCATACAGCAGCATGACTGAAGGCAGGTATTGGTCAAGTAGAGACTAAATGGGCCTGTTAACAGTGCAGTTCACAAATGCGAGGGATATATGTTCTACGAAGATTAGAGCATGAGCAAATGTGAATTCCAAAAAAGTCACTTGACAAATGTAATCTGCATATTTATCACAATCTATAGTTTTTAGAAGAGAGTAATGGTCATAGCCAGATGATTATGGAATATTTTTCAACATACATGTGGTTGACCTTTTGACAGAATGGAATTCACCAATCTTGTATTTTTAATCTTGACTATTACTATAAAGATTGAATTCTTGCTGCTTCTGGGCATTGTTCTCCAACTAGTTAGTTCCATTTAATTATGTTTCCACACCTCCATAGCATTGCCATGGGAAGTTGTATCTTGATCAAGAAGTTATTACTCCCAGGGTTCTAGCAACTATGAGGAAAAAGCAGGGACTTCTGACTTCCTTTGAAGCAAACATGCTTGCTTCACACGTTTTACAGAGTGAGTGAACATGGTGTTCTGTTTTCCTTTTTTGCAGTGTGTTATTATTTTTACTCCTGTTTATTACCAGTCATATTGTTGTAAAATAACAAGTAAAAAGAAATGAGAAATTATCTTTCCTCATCAGATGACTCAAAGAGTTGTGAGCAGAAGTGAAACTCTACCTAAGAGAAACACTACTTTTGTTCATTGATAACTTAGTGGTTATCTTTGTTCAATTGTAGTACATGAAAGGCTTTCCCTTTCACTGTCAGTGACTTAGTCAATATATAAATTTTATGTTTTAAAAATTTAATTATCTGAATTAAATTTTTCTATTGTAAGTATGTAGTTGATTATTATCAAAAAGTTTGTTTAAATGGTTACTAGAACATGTTTTTATTTTTGTATAAAGAGTTTATTTCATTCATGAAAAGTTTACTTTCTGTTTTGTACAATAGTGCATATGGCCTGTGTTAACGATAAAGAGTATGTTTTATATGTTAATTTCTACTGTATTTGTCATGTATATACAAATGGTCATTACACAGTTAATCTCTACAGTTCTATCCAGAGCTCTTCTCATCAAATTCCAAACAGGCTGCATGGTTCAGTTACTTTAGAACACAACAGAGAAGAAAAATTACCATATTTTTCGGTGTATAAGACACACTTTTTTACTCCAAAATTTGAAGTCAAAAATCTGCTTGCGTCCTATACACCGAAGGTATGAATAATATATATGTATATATATAATACACACAAGCCATGTGTAAATATATTTAAATAGGCATGCATAGTTTAGTTTAATTGAATGTGTTATTTCTAACAATAGTAGTTTTTTCTTTTAAAAACATAACTATTTATAATGCTCCCTAAATTATAAAAAAATAAATTACAGTGAAAGCAATGAAGATTTTGTAGGTTTTGAACCAAACTAAATAACAGTAAACCTTTTTTTTGATTTACGGTATTTTCTTATTTGGATGTTTTGAGCTCTTTTTTGTTTAAAACAATATATATATAATAATTTTTAAAGTACCAAATTGAATTTTTGTTCAATAAAAATCTTTCAAATTCAACTGTAGCTTTTTTCCCCAAAAACTTTGTCTTCAAAATAAGGGTGCGTCTTATATTCCGAAAAACACTGTATTTTTCTGCTCTGTTGTATCCAGAGCTTCGAACAATTGTCTCTTTTTGTTAAAACTCCACACAGATTTGTTCAGTTACTTTAGATTACAATGGACAAAATCTACGAGAGATTGTTAAACAACAAGATCTAGAGGGAGAAGAGTGAAAGTAAGACCGAAAGAAGAAAAGGAGAGAGAGGAGAAACTAGAAATAGAGAGGATAAGAGCACAAACTGAGATCACCGAGCTCACTAAACAGCAATACGAAGGACCCAGGAATGACAATAAAGTCAAGGCCAGGAGACCCAAGCTGCCCAAATTTGATGAACAGAAAGATGACATGGATGGTTTCCCGGAGAGGTATGAAATGTTTGCCCCAAATCAGAACTGGACAGCCTCCTTCTCACAGGAAAAGGCCTAAAGAGTATGCTGGCATGACGTCAGATAAGGCCAAGTTAAATGTGGCCTTTCGGAAATGCTATGAACTTGTCAAGGAAGGTTTTCACCAGAAGTTCAAAGAAGTAAAACCCGACACTGGAGAAACTGTATTTCAGTTTGTGGCACGTCTATGGTGATAATTCACAAGGTGGACTGACTTGGCCAAGTGTGAAGACAGTTTTGAAGGACTGGCAGACCTACTAAGATGTGAATAGTTCATGATCGCATGCTCCACTGACATGTCACCATTCCTAAAAGAGAGTACCGAGAAAGATGTGGACAAGATGATCAAACTGGCAGAACAGTATACAGAAGCCCATGGAGAGAGTATAACTGTCAAGTCCAAGAATCACCAATAAAAGTCAAAACATAAGGTGGCTGACCAGAAGCAGGATGACACCAAAGGTGACAAGAAGCTAACAGACAAAAGGGAGAAGAGAAACTATACATGTTATAAAATGAGGCACATTGCTTGTGAGTGCAAGTCTGTCACCAACAAGCAACAGCAGAAACATCGACATAAAAGAGCTGTAGGTACCTTCAAAGATGGTGCTGGCAAGAAACAAGAAAGGAGTGACTATCACCATGGATGTTGCTGCCAGAAGAAACAGAATAGAGACAGCTCATCAGATTTATGATAAGAAGGAAGTACTACCACCATGATTAAAGTGCATGATTGATGGTCAGTTCAAGTTAGCAGATGGGTCAACAGTGCCAGTGAATGATACAAACACTAAGACATACCAACAAACCATAACAAGTTGGTAGTTGAAGGCTATGTTAGGGACAAGAAAGTGAAAGTCCTACAAGACACTGGATGCAACAGTGGAACCAATCTAATATCTGATGATTAGATGACAAAGTACATCTGTGTGTGCCGATTAATGGGACTGTTAGAAATTTCCCATAGCATAAATATAGGTGGACATTCCATACTACTTAGACCTTGAGGCCATGTGTATGAAGGCACCCATCTACAACTTGGTGATTGGAAATATACCAGGCAGTAGAAGTTTAGTGGAACCAGACAGGACGAAAAATGATGATGTATCTGCAGTCATAAGTAGTGGACATCCTGTTTTCATTTCTTAACATATAATTGTTAATTTTTACTTCTAGAATTTAAATCTTATTCATTTAACGTTTGTAACATCTAGTCTACATCTCATGCTTGCTTTTAGCTTACAAATCTCAAGCAATTAATATTTTTTACTTCTATACTCTGAACTTCTGTTACTCTTACATTTACTTCTAGGCTACATGTTATATGTTATAGCAGTTACATTGCTACTTGTAGTTCTAAATTTTATGTAGCAAGGAATCTTTGTTTGTAGTTAAGAACAAACCTATGCAATGGGCTATCTATGCTGTGACCACCAAATGTTTCAAAACCTGGCTTATAGTGTCATACATTCGCACAGTTACTAATTAATCTTAAAAAGTATGACTTTTTTCTTCCTTTGTATATTGAAAAGTTACGTTTTACTCTACATTCATCAAAACAATAAGAAAAATGTGTGTATTAGGTAAGTTCCTGAGCTGAAAACAACTGCATTATATTAAGACATGACACTGTAAATGTACAATACTTACTGCCTGAGAGTTAGGGACAACAACTGAAAATAACATTCACTGCATATTGGAAAAATAAACACTGAAAAAGACAGTAAATGAACAACATTTAAGTGGGTGAACTGAAAAACAAGAGCTATGTACATTCCCTGCCACCTGTTAGTAGCACAGGTACTACATAATTCAATAAGTTGTACATATGGTTTTAATGTTTAATTAAATTCAGTCTGCCAGATTGAATGTGGTACCCACTATAAAATATATGTGTGCTGGCATTTTTTTATACATAAAAGTTTAATCTTTTATGTTTCTGCAAATTGTTAGTTGCACATCCTATATCACTGCAGCAGTCATAAATTAGACAGATTATTTAATGCTCTGTCCTGGAATTTCTAAAGAGAATTTCATCTCTTTAGGTTATCCAAGCTGCAAGGGTGTTGGTTGCCCGTCCTCAATCCAAAGTTGCTCAGGAAAACATGGATGCTTTTAAAGAAGTATGGGAGAATCATGTATTCATTTTAACAGAAGCAGTGGATGAAATTACAACTATAGATGATTTTCTTGCAGTTACAGGTATGAAGTAGATAATAAGAACTGATTCTATTAAAACCTACAATTTACAGTTGGTACACATTTAATTAATTGGGTCAAGCAGAATATATTATAAAATCTGATTCTTCTTATAAATGATGTTTTATGTCTTTTTTATGTAGGAATCTTCTGTATTATTCATTGTATTTATAATTTTCACACTTGATCCAAGAGTGGCTTAGGTGTGTGCTAATATTATTTCTCTTGTTCTGTTGCAGTTTTTGTATGTTTTGCAACCAAGAAAAACAACTAACATATATTTTTCTGTTGGGTCTTCCATGACATTAAATCATCAGTAATGTATTCAGTATATTAATATCGGATGATTGGTCTGATTTTAAACATAGCATACTACATGTATATTACAAATTCAGTAAGTTTTCTTTGTCTGTTTCTGTTGCAGTTTCTATATGTTTTGCATATATATATATTTGTATATTTACCTGTTGGGTCTTCTATGACATTAAATCATCAATAATGTATTCAGTATATTAGTATCAGATCATTGGCCTGACTTTAAACGTAGTATATAATATGCATTAAGAAGATAATTATAATAATATTGTGCATGAAAAATAACAACTGATGACTCTATAAAATTATATCTTTTTTTAAAAAGTGACTTTATAAATACTAGGTAACCTTATACAAACCAAGATTTGGGTGAAATCTCATCTATCCCAGACTATTAGGAATAACATGATTAATATTTCTTAAAACATATTTGTTACGTATAAAGAATGCTGGCATGTCTATTGTTAAACAAAGACAGTGAGCAATACAGTGGGTAAAAAGCACTGAGGCAACAAATATATTGGTATAGTTTCAGAGACTATGATTTTTGAATAGCATTCTTGCATATAAAGTTTAAAGTTTATTAATCACACATACTTAAATATTTATTTTGTTGATTTTCAGGCATCTAGAATTTACTGTTATTAACATATTGCAGCTGACATAAATTACAATTCATTTAATTTAATACTGTAAAAAAATGGATGAATTGAAAATGTGAAATGTAATGTAACTACCACAGTTTACTAATAAGACAATGTTTTAAATATCTGGTTGATTTTTAAAATATATTTTACTTTTAATGAATTCAATCATGGAATTAATTTCTGCAATATAGTTAGACAGTACAATTTAATAAATCAAAACTCTTACTCACCATACTGATTCTTGTTCACAGTTAAAGTATAAAAAAGAAAAAAATCACAAAGAATAAAAAAAATGTTTTTCTTTATAAGATTTCAGATTACATTATTCACATACCTGAGGATACAAGTTGTCTATCTGCTTACATGCATACTGTACCATTTTTACACCTTCTTCATTACTGGACATGGAACATGCCATAGCAGCAACCTGGAACCAAATTGTATGTAATTATAGAAGTAAATATTTCTTTAACAATCCAAAAGCGCATGTACAATAACTATTACACTATAAATGATGTATTTATAGCAAAACCTTAACTGAGAGTTACATTAACACTGCTTTTAAGAAATTGGCTGGGATCTTATGGAATCATAACAGTGAGGGAAAGATTTCTTAAATAAATTCAGGATGTTTTTCTATACTACATGGTGAAAGAGCCAACTAGATAGAATAACATGTTAGATTTAAACACTGATGAGGACATGGTTGCAATAGTTAAGATAGGGGGATCATCTGGGGAAGAGTGAAGATTTATTAATTAGATCTTATAATTAGTGAATAGTGATAATAAGCTCAAATGTAATGTGCGACAGACTTGGGAAATAAATTACTTTTAATTCAAGACATGTTGCTAAAAGGTGGAAAAGGAAAACAGAGATGATAAAACTTAATTCTTTTATTGAAGGCATAAAGGATAAAATCAGGGATAAATGCCGTAAGTTTAAGAATTTTAAACTGATGTGTAGATTTGAATATTTACACAATGATAAGAAAGTCTGGGATTTGGTTAGCAAGAAAATCAAAAAGTGCTTATTGTTTGGTTTGGCTGTTGTTAAGCACAAAGCTATACAATGAGCTATCTGTGTTCTGCCCACCACTGTATCAGAATCCGAATTTTAGCTTGCCGAAAAAGCGCTATGAAAAACATCTGGCTTATAATGTTAAAACTAGCAGCAAGTACTTTTTTTTAAGGATGTTAAAGGTAAGAAAAATGTTAAAATAGGGATTGGTATAGATAAAGAACCAGGACCAGACATGGTTTTTTATTCCCCCACTGCTTTAAAGGAGTTCAAAGATCAGATCTGCATGTCTCTCTCTCTTTTATTGTTAGATCTATTTATAGTACTCAGGTGTCTGCATGAAAACTGGAGGGTTATTAATGTTACTCTTATTTTTTTAGAGGAAAGATAAGAGATATCCTGGAAATTACAAGCTAGTGTGTCTTACTTCTATAGAGGAAAATTTGTACAACCTGATACAAGAAGCTTCACAAAATCAATCAATGAAATATACATCTCTCTCTCTCTCTCTCTATATATATATATATATATATTTCACTGATTGATTTATGATATATATATATATCATAGGAGAATACCAACGTAGATTCACCTTATGGAAACCTTACCCTATTAATCTGTTACCTTTTTGAGGATGTTACTAGTTACCTGGATGATCGAAAGGGTGTGGACTTATTATACTAATATATTTTCAGAAACCTTTTGATAAAGTAATACCAATAATACTAGCTACAAAAATCACACTGGTAGGAGATGGGGTTTGACTAATTAATTGCACTGTATTGTAGTTGAATACAAAGCAAATGGTGATTATTAATGGATTCCAGTCAAACTGAACTCTTGTTACACATGAAGTGCCTCAGGTGTCCTTTGCTTTTTCCTAGTTACATCGAGGCATAATTTTAACAAACTAGTAAAGTTTGCTGATGACATTCAACTCTTGGGATGTTGAGGTATTATAAAATATATGAATAATTTTTTAACTGAGACAAATACTTGGCAAAATAATTTTACTTATAGTAAGAGCAAAGTAATACACATAGGTTATGATATGATGCACTTAGTTACAGTTGATAACTTAAGTGCAATGCTATACAAATGGCTAATTGTGCCCAATCTACCATTGGGAAACCTGGATTTTTATGTCACAAGTCAGAAAACTTACCACTGACCCACCAAGGGACATCATAATTTGGATCACATGTTTTTACTTCACTCAGTGGTTGGTATTCAAAACAGACTTGAAGGACCAAATGGTTTTTTGTTGTCCATATAATATATAGAGTAAGAATTAAGAAAAAGAATAACATGGCAACAAGGGAGCCAGTGTATGAATGATCAGCACGCTCATAACCTTAGTGATACTGCAGAAAACCTATTGACACATACTGTGGAAGAGATAAATACCTTTGTGTCAAAAGCATACTTTTGTGAGAGTGAAAAATCAGAAAAACAACAAGGGTGGCATGTGGGAGTAAATAATACATTAAACTAGACTAACAATTTGTCAGCCATAATGACAGTATGAAATATATTGATAGTTAATGAAATATGTATACATTATATGATATTCTAAAAATGTTATGTGAATAACTAGTAAATTAAATAATATATATATATTACTTATATTTATTATGTCTAACTATATCATAATTATTCATTCTTTGAAACAGACCATTCTTTTCATTTAACTTTAAATTTATACAAATACACATATGTAATTTTTTCATTATACAGAAGAAACTGCATAGAGAAAACATAATAATAGATGCAGAACCCAAGACTATAAAAAAGACTTTTTTTCAAACAACATATAACATTAAAGGACAACAAGGGACCTTTTGGTCCATCTAGGCTGTCCTATCCACTAAATTAAACTAAAAAAAAACTCAGCCCTTATCATTCAAATGTTTCTCAAGCTTTCCTTCAAACTCCCTAAATTAATTGCATCCACCATATCCAACATGATACCCAATCGAAAGACTAACTACCATGCTATAAAAGTAAAACTATCATAGCTGAAAATTACTCCTACCCCAAAATTTATATTTGTGTCCTCTAATCTTACCATTTTCACCATAAAATATGATAAATGATGATGCATCAACTCTATCAATTTCCTTAACAATCTTAAACTCTTCAATCAGATCCTCTCTAACTCTTCTTCTTTCAAGAGAAAACAAGTTCAGAGATCTCAAAATATCCTCATATGATATCATTTCCATCTATGATATTATCCTAGTAGCCCTCCTCTAAACTCCTTCCAAAACTTCAGTATCCTTTCCGAGATAATAAGCTGAAGATTGAACACAATACCCCAAATATCAACATTCTTCTTACCTGAAAATATATTTCTGATAGATACCCACCTCTTCATACAGTTAAGTTATATTACTCATGTGTCTGCCTTAGTGATTTATATGCTGCTAGCCTTGAGGCAGCCCCCACTTAATCTAATGTGATCTAACATGAATTTCGCTACTGTGTGATGATGTAACCATGTGGCAAAGCCCTCCACCATTAGAAGGCAACATACCTCTATGTCCACTAACTTTCTCTATGCATTTACATTCAAGAATCTTCATTCTTTGACTAGGCAAGGAATACAAAGGTGCACCAGAAGTGAGGAGGATGGGTAGAAATATATTTGAAGAGGGAAGTATTCATCAGAAATAGATTTTCAGGTAAGGAAAATATTATCTTCTGAGACAACACCACACTTCTGCACACAGTTAAGCTAGAACCACACATTTAAATGGTGGAGGGGATGATCCAAATATTTACTTAGATGAGCTCCCTTTATAAAATGTCCAAAGCAAGCCAATGGAGTTTAGCACCCAATGGCAGGGAATCCATAGGGACACCCATGAGAAACTGCATCTCATCTCTTCCAGGGTATACTAGTTGGCCAGGAAGAAAAGAAGAAAGAGGCAAATGAGCCCCATGTGTTGCAGGGATGAGCAGAATAAGTACTTGGCCACCCAAGTATTTGCACAAAAGTTGGAGAGTCAATATGTGTTGCAAAGTTGGTATGCTCACCTAAACTGTATTGGACTTTATTGGATGGCACAGCAGTCATACCATAAAGAGTGGTATGGTGTGTGCAAATCTCAACTGAACAGAATAGATATCAGCTTCCAGAGAAGGGCATGGTTTGCTAGTGAGAGCTTGCTTCAACACAACAGGTGACATCTGCAGGAGAAGGGCACATGTGTAATGAATCTGCTCACCTCAACTCTACTGAACAGATAAGATTGCAAAGGGCATAGGACAATGTTGCATCCTAGTCTCAATTCTACTGGACAGTTGCAAGCAGAATGAGGAGGGCACAGCATCGTATTATGTACTCATCTCAACTTTACTGAACAGACTGGCTACAGGAGAAGGACACAGCATTATATTGTATGCTCACCTCAACTGAACAGACTCAGGCCACATGAGGAAAATACAAGTGGCATGTGGGAAAGCTACATAAGAGGTGGCCTGTGCTACACTGACAGTGTTACCACAGCCCCATTTCCCACTGCACTGGTACTCAATTATATAATGCCCCAGTGTATGAATCCACTAGGTGAGGGTTTTCCATGGTAAACCATCCCAGCAGCTAGGAATGGGTAAGTGGGAAGGGTATCCCAGGTTCCACTCAATGAGATAAAAGGAGGTGAAATTCATGGTGGGGAGGCCTGGAGAAAATGCTCAGATCCCCATCAGTTCTTTGGTCCAGAATGGTCTTATACTGGATACAGAAAATAGATGACTGTGTAACACTATTTCGAAAAGCCAGTAAACACAAGCCAGGGAGGTGGGTAGAACACACCATAGTATTAGCTTTTTCCATGAAAGTCCATGGAACAGGTATGGTATGGATCAGACAAAAATCAGATATATAGATATACCACAAGAATACCTCTAGTGGTCTTGCAGAGCACTTTATCTCACAGTGGGAATATATGAAGCCAGAAAAGATGGTATGAGCCCTTTCATTATACTAGCTCGATGCACATTTTGAGAAACAAGGGCACCACCAGCCACCTGGGAAGATCCTGCAAATGCAATTGGGACTATGAAAGAGGAATAGTATATATTGTTTCAATGATGATGGAATGATAAAAAAATTTTGATTTTTGGACCCCCAAAAACCATCAGGAGATAAAGTCAGAAGGTGTAGAGAAGACAAATGTGTAGAGAACTTCCATATGCATCTGGAAGAGCTGAACCTATGGCTGGCAAAGAAGACACGTGAAAGAAGAAGAAAGGCACCAAGTCAAATGAGAAGAAATGTAAGGCTATGCGCACCCCAAATTCGAGATGAATGTGCCAACTGAAGGAGGTAACAGACCCAACCAGTAAGGGGAGAAGGAAAGGGACCCATGGGAAAATGGAGTTCCTTGAAAAGGCACACCAAAC